CCTACCTCTCAAGAAGAATCGAGAGTGGTTGGTATGAACTGCAGTCCCCGTGTGTCCATTCAGGAACATAACAAGCTAAAACAGGAGTATGGTGGTAAGAGACACCAGGTACACGTACCTTAAATGTATATCGGGATCTTCGGTCCCCACTCTTGGTCCCCTAGACCCTCTTTGAACTCCTAGCTTATTCCTTCCTTTCAGAGTTCCTGGAGATCACTTCCTGCTCCACAAAACATCAGCCATGAGCAAACTGTCAGGCCACCATGTGGGCCCCGTCCCTCCCTGGGCCAGAGACTTTGGGTACTGGGTTCAAATCCCAGCTTTATAACTTTAAATAACTCTTTAAACATTCTCTGCCTTGGTTTTCCTCAGCAACAAGGGAGTAAATAAAACTCAGTGTGAGTTGTATGAGTACGGTGAAACTTAATGAGTGCCCATAAACTGTTTTGAGATTTGTAGGTGAAAGGAAATGTTATTGCAAAATGCTGGCATCATGGATTCCTGGCTCTGAAGTCCAGTCATTTATTCTGCAGATGTTTTACTCAAGGGAAAAAAGAACCATTGCTCCCTTTCATCATGCTGGAGAAACTACTTCTTCAACTTTTTTCACAGTCTTTCAATTACACACTCCTATTACAGCTAAGAATTCCTTTGTAGCTGAAATTTTCCATGTTCATGAGAACTATATCTTTTTTCAAATTTAGAGATGCACAAATCATTTACAACAACGTAAAAAAGTATAAAGCTGACTGTTCTGTGTGTGTGTCTGTGTAGGAGAATAAATAAACCTCTAACTGAATCATCATCCCAGTACCGGTAGTTTTTGCTGAATCAAGCAACAATTTAAACTGTCAAAAATAAAGTCATATCTGATCCCATATTCTCTTTGCAGGGGGAAAAAAATAGCAAGGGAGTGCCACACACTTATGGAGTCTTAGACGGGATCTTTCTTTTCCTTTATCTTAATGACTACCTCCAGTCATGTTTGCTAATTAAATCAACACTGACCCTCCAATCTAGATTCATGTCAGAGAAACCAGCATCACCTCACTGCAGATGTTCTTCCTGCTCTGATGAGTAATACTACTAGTGACTAACATTTGCTCAGCACTTACTATGAGCCAGGCCGGGTTCTAAGGCTTTACATGTTTTTTTCTGTATATAGCACATACATAAGGGCAGCCACCCCCAAACAACTGGGGTAGGCTTGAAAGATTAAAACATTTGACTCTCCCTGCCTAGATCTTCCATTTATATCTACAGCCTCTCCATGGTGTGAACTAAAATTCAGAATGATGGTTGCGAGGATCTGCAAGATTTCTAATCATTGTATTCAACAAACATTTAGTGAGCTTCTTACAGTGCAGACTTCAATTATAGTCACATATCCCACTGCACTGGTTCTCAAAGGGGATGGTGCCACCCCCTGGTGGGCATTTTTGAAATCTGTGTGGTGCTTGTTAGTTGTCACCATGAGTGGACAGCCAGATGCGGCAGATGTCCTGCGGTCTGCAGAAAATGTCCCACACAACAAAAAACTGCCCTCAGTGCCATGGAACTTTCCAGGCCCCACTAGACATTCATGTAGATGAAAAGACTGTTTTAATGACCTGAGCTAAAACCTAATCCCATTTTACATATAAACACAAAATATCTTGTGTTTGAGTGTCTTTTGCATTTTTTCAATATCCACTGAATTTTCCAAAAATGCATCTACCGTGTAAATTGAGATAAATGTTTATTTGTTTAGTTCATAACTTTGTCAAAAGTTCATGTTTTAGAAAATCATATCACCATCAGCAAAGCTGTTCATGGTATTCGAGTTGCCAACATAATAACACAGCCAAAGCTGCCTATGTTTTCATCCGTCATATCCCTGGTGATCGTCCATATAGCTGTCAGCATCTGTGTGCCCCATTGTACTACTGATGTAGCCATGCTCAAGTATTCACACGGAGAATTACATATTTAATGGTAACTTACTTAACTGTAAATTCTCCTGTATTATATAGTGTGGGCATTGTATTATTTTTTAAATGTATGAGGTTATTTCATCTATGAATCTCATTTCAGAATAGGAAAGTGTTTGCTATGGAGGGGGCACTAGGTCTGAAAGGATTGAACGCTACTGCTCTCCTTGTTAAGAAAGTGAAAAATTATGATTCAGAAAAAAAATTTTAAGCTTGACTCAACACATTCTTTTTCACCATCTTTCTTGGGCCAAATGCAACATGTCTACTCAAGTAGATTTATAGTCCTATCTCTCAATCTGCTCACTTGGAGGAATAAGTAAGTCAGTTAGTTTTAAGGCACCGTGCAAAGAGAAACCCACACGACTGCTGCACTGAAATCATCCAGCCTTTTCTGCGTTCCTAAGTTCACACACTAAACATAAGAAGAGGTGAGCTGGGTTTTCCTCGCCCCCACCAGCACCCTGTACCACCCCAATGTGTTGCCCTCCCTGGGCTGCAAGTACCTGCTACACAATTGGCTCAAAATAAAAGACTCAAATGAATAAATGGCCCTTAGAGGTATTTGTGCCAGAGGTAATACATTTAAAAAGAAAAAAACAGGGAGATGACACAATAGAGTGATTCCCTATATTCTTATCTGGATATAAGGTCTGGCACCAATTTATTTTAACCAAAAAATATGGCTTTCGTGCGTCAAATATTGTGGATATATGAAACATGTTATGCAATTCCCACTTTGCCTCTCTTTGCAGAGAAGTAAGGCTCCTTACCTGTTCTTCAGCTTCCCTCTTTCCTTTCAAAATGCCTCTGTTGCTATCTCACCTCTTTACCTGCCCTTCCTTTCCTTCCTTTCCCTCCCAGAGGAAGGGCTTCTCCTCCCTTCCAAGAAACACTTGCAGTCTGCATTTTTGCTCCGCTCTCCTTCTTTCCTCTGCAGGATCTTGATTTATCTTCACTTTTATAACATCACTCTTCTGCTCTCACAACAAAAAATGTCCAGATCTATCTATCTGCTCACTTTGTACCAAGCACTATGGTGTGTGTGTGTGTGTGTGTGTGTGTGTGTGTGTGTGTGTGTGTGTGTGTGTGTAAAACTTTCATTTATTGTTTCATTCGATATTCCCAATCTGGGGGACTGAGAAACGTTCCCACGTCCCACAGCTAATCAGCTAGTAAGCAGAGGAATCAGGGTCCGGACAGCCCGCCCTGCTGCTGCCCCACCAGAGAACAGCTTATATAGTCTTTGGTGCTGCTCTCCCTTTTACTGTCTTCTTAACCCTTCATGGTCTGACTTTTCTACACCATCACCGGAAAGTTGCTCTCTTTAAGGTTA